GCAATTATAACACAGCATGTATTTGCTCAAATGATTAGTTTTTTTAAAATGTCTTGCATGTTTTCATAGTTTCTTAGAGCTTAATGATGGACAATTATATAATCTAATTTCACTTCTATTAATTTAGGCTTTTGTATTTCATGCAGATGTCCATATCATGAGCTTAGAGATTTTAGTTAGACTGAAATATTTATGTCCTCTAGAGGGAAAAAAATGACAGAGACTAGTATTTCATTTTTATCTGAGGCTCTTAGGAGAATATATATCACGTATTAAAAGTCCTGATAATAACATTATATAAATGTACCTGTGTTCCACTCATAGGAAAACCTATTGTGTACAACAAATCAAAGTCCTTGTCCCTTAAACAAGGTGACAATTGTTTCCCACACCCTGAGTTTGCTCATCATTATAATTTGGGGAATGTGAGTGAAGTTTACCAGCTAGTCATCAAAGAAATATGAGGTTTTGTACCAAAACTTTACATGAGCTAATAATGTACACTTGCAGCCTGGAAGGCCAACCATATCCTGAGCTGCATGAAAAAAGGAGTGGCCAGCAGGGTGAGGGAGGTGACTTTCTCTCTCTACTCTGTCATTGTGAAGAAGAGGCCCCCTGGATTACTGCATCCAGGCCTGGAGCCCCTCCAACATCAGAAAGATGTAGAGCTGTTGGAGTAAATCCAGAGAAGGGCCACAGAGATGATCAGAGGGCTGGAGCACCTCTCCTTTGAAGAAAGGCTGAGGGATCTGGGCTTGTTCAGACTGGAGAAGAGAAGGCCACTTCACTGTGGCCTTCTTGTACCTAAAGGGAGCTTATAAACAAGGAGACTGACTTTTTACATGGTCTAATAGCAATTGGACAAACGGGAGTGGTTTTTAACTAAAAGAAGAGTGATTAAAGGTAGATATTTAGAGGACATTTTTCTCTCAAAGGGTGCTGAGGCACTGGCACAGGCTGCCTAAAGCAGTTATCGATGACCATCCCTGGAGGTATTCAAGATCAGGCTGGATGGGGCCCTCGGCAGCCTGATGCAGTGGGTGGCAGCCTAGCCCAAAGCAGAGGGGTTGGAACTAGATGATGTATAAATTCCCTTCCAACTCAAGCCATTCTGTGATTTTAACCATGGCCAGTGTATGACTTCTGAGAGTTATTTGATTTTTCTGAAAGATGGACTAGATGCTGTTGGGGGTCTCAGTATCTGCTGTGATAAATATCTGAGTATTTTATGTATTATTTATTCTCACCAGAGCAGGATTTTTGCTCTAAGAACCATGCAGATGAGTGAAAGCAGAGGATAATAGCCTCTTCCACTTCATTTTCTGCTGAGTGACATGGACAAATGACTTCTGAAACAGTTCACTAGATCAGGCTCTGCGAGCAAAACAGTGCAAGGATCCCAAAAGGTCTTTAAAAAACATTGTCAAGACCACTTGGCATCTAAATTGCTCTCTGTGTCAAGCTCTAAGTTCCCATTTATACCTCTAATTACTAACAACATTTGATATCTTGGACATCCTGCTCTAACTACTTCATCATCCCCTTTGAAAGATGACTGAAATCCAAAATGAGCAAATTAAATATCTTCCAGGTCATTGCATCATGGCTTCTCTAGTTATCAGGGGACACACATTTATGCCTATCACTTGGTGCCAGGCCAATAGCCTTCATTTCCAATACCAACAAACCAGGCAATACGCATCAGTCAGCTCACTGCAAATTGGCAATTAACATGATGGCTGGATGGGTTCACATGAGCATAACATTATTAATTAAACAGCAGCTGGGTTAATCAAGATAGTAAAAGTAATTTGTTGGAATAAATATTTTATTAATGTGTCCATCAATAAAGCAAAAGTGGAGATTTTAATTAATATATTTATAAAAATATTCCACTGTAGTAACCATAGCTCTGTTTAAGTATCTCAGTACAGGTCTAATTTGTTCCCACTTCATCACTTCTTGTTAATCGTAGTGTAGATATCAGTTACCAATTATAATTACAAGTCTATTGCTTACAAGCCAAGTATTGCTGTCCACCACAGAGCACATATACTGGACAACTGTTGTCAAAGGGCTGTTTTTCCTCTTTGTTGCCATGTTCTTTCAGAAATGAGTGCGTTCTCCTATTTAATTACGGAAAGCTCTTGATATATGGTGGGTTGCAGTATGATATTACAATGATAGTACAGTGTGATTAAAGACCTGATTTTTTGTTTTCTCCAAAATTAACTTAGGGGGTAAATACATTTTTTACTTTTATGTTTTAAACAAGTATGCAGTAGCTTTGATTTCTGTCTAATTAAGGAAAATTTATCTAATAATTAAAAGAAATACAAAGAAACACAGATAAGCAGTGAAAGGCTGCTGATTTTATAGCAGATATGGCAAAGACATTACAACAGTGCTCCAAGCAATAACACCAGTGGGAAAATGTTTACATTAAGGAGAAGATGTAATGAAAGAGGAAGATGTAAGCTGTTATAGCTGTTAAGACAGTCAGGTTTACCAAGCCCCTCAATTTTTGGAGAGCAGACCTCTTAGAGTATTTTTCCCTCCTTTTGCTTGCTTGCTTTTCGCTTTCCTCTTTTGATGATTTAGTGGAAGGCTGTTAGAGTTAGGGTAGTATGGTGAGGTTGTGGTTGGACTCGATGATCTTTAAGGTCTTTTCCAACCTCAGCAATTCTATGATTCTATGATTCTATGATTTTGGTCAAGTGGATTATTGTATATGAGAATAGAAAGAGATGATGCCAGGAGGTGAGAGGTAGGGCTGGCATTATCCTGACTTTGAGTAGGAAAAAAAATCATGAAGTACAGCAATGGCAAATGTTAAGGAAGTAGTTGAGCTGCCTTCAAAAATATTTAACCTACGAAGATTGTGGGCTGAACTGTCATGCCTGCTTCCGAACACTTCAGTCCCATACTTAGGGAGAAGAAACAAACCCAAGTGACTCACATGGTCAAATCACACACTGTCAGTGATGAATGGAAGTAGTGCAAATAAATGGATGATATTCCCTAATGAAAGGCCATCTATTCTATTGTATTTGTATTGTACTTAATGCAATAGCAGTTTAATTATGTGCAGTGTTCAGTTAGCATAAGCAATATACCTCAAGTATGATTGTTTTTTCAATCCCTTGGAATCCTTTATGTAACGTTGCTTCAGTTTGCATACATTAAAGACACATCCACCCAGTGTCCACCTGATAAAGGTGGTAGCTTTTCCCTAGTAAAATTGACCCTGTCCCCCTTCAGAAATCCAAGGATGCTGGAGCCTGCTCAAAACCAGAAGAAAGCTGGATTAAACTCACTAGTTCCTTTCCCAAAACCCCAGCGAGGTGAATGGCCAAGTCAGGAGGCTCTGGCAGGACTAGGCCACAGCACTGTGGCAGCTTTCATTCGCAGGGAACTTAGCCTGGGTGTACTGCAGCTTAATTCTCCACGGGGAGGATCAATCCCTTGGAGGAGGATTAAGCTGCAGTGAGCTGAGGCCACTTCATTTCTGAATGGGGAAGGCCACACGGGGATTTAATGTACTTTATCTTCTGTGCATTGATTTCACAGCTTTAGTTAATTCATCTTAACTTCCCTGAATTCCCTTGTGTGGACAAGCTTTTTGTCTGCAGACACTCTTGGAGCTGCTTGTAAAGCTCTTGGTGTAGCCCAATGAGAAAGCAGGTTGGAGTGATTTTTGTGCCTGTGAAGGAGCTTATACCTGTCTGGATACCATTAAATTACCTCTTTCTCAAGCGCTTGATCCATGACAACCTTAAAAGAACTATTTTAATTAGGTTTTTTTTTTGTATTGAACAAATGAAAAAAGGGTTTTTTGAAAACTAATCTCTGGGTTATTTTAGAAATCTCTCATGAACAGCCTCTTTGAGGCTTTCAGATAGCACAAATTGTGTACAGCTGCACAAACAGTATTTTCTCAAGCATGGGCATGTCTGGGCAGTGCAGTTTAATAGGTTTCCTTTCCCAGTGGAATTATCTTCTTTTTGGTGATGGTCATAAGAGGAGATTTTGTCTATATGAAAAGCAAACAAGCACAGTTTCTATTCTCTGGTCCCAAAAATTTTAATCCCTTCCTCTGAGTGACACAAGTGACACAGACCTGGGCTAAGGAGAATGTTCTTCTAGAAGCTGCTGTTAAAGCAATGGCATGATTTGGCTGTGTTGTCCTTTGGGAAAACCTGCTCTTTTCTTGTCTAGTGAATGTGATGTAAAGACAGGCCCTTCTGATAAAGTGTTTCCTGATGCTGATGAATCATATTCCAATTTTAATGTTTAACAAAATCCGGACATTTCACATATCAAATTAAACTATTGCCAAGCAGTTCACTGGGTCACTTTCTGCAAGACAAAGTGACATCTCTTGTGGATTCTATAATAACTTTACTATAACTTAATTCCACAGCAGTCAGTAAATATTTTTTTCTTTTTTATATGTAAATTAGGTAAATTTGTAAACAAATATGTAAAATAAGGGACATCTACATACAAATGTATTTATCAAATGTATGAATAACAGAATTAAGAATCACAGAGGTTGGAAGACTCTGGAGATCATTGAGTCCAATCCCCCTGCCAAAGCAGACTCCCTGCAGATGGTTGCACAGGTAGGCATCCAGACTGGTCTTGAATATATCCAGAGAAAAAAACAGTAACACTTAAAATCAAAATCTAAGGGCTTTGTTTTCTAATACAATGTTCAGACCTAGTGTTTTGGAGTAGCATTCATCAGTGCTGATCTCAGTGAGGCAGGAAAACAAGAAATTATTTTAAAATATAATGTATCATGAGGAAAGAGAGAAAGTATCTTTAATTTAGCTATGTGTGACCATTTGCACTGGGATTTACATATTAATTCAGGAAATAGGAGGAATTTTTTTCTAAATATAGCTGTGATAGATGTACTTACATGGTATTGTAATAAAAAGCTTATTAAGTGTTCAATGTATTCTTATGATTACTTTTCCTCTTCTTTCATGCAGCTGATTGGATTTGTGTATGCCTGTTACGTGATCAGTATTTTCATGGAGGAAGAGGACAGCTGTAAGTACTGATACTCACCTATTCATCTCTGGAGTACTGTGGCTCCAGAGATGTCTTGCATTAACTACCAAGAGGAGCAAAGCTTGAGAAGTGGCAGTCTGACATTCATGTACACAACTAATATTACTCAAACACATATTTACTTAGGTTCTACAAGTGTATGGACTGTACTTTCTGAACTTGTTTGTAGGGATCTGTGAACCCTACATGATATACCCTTCACATGAGCCAGGTATAGTGCTGAAAAGCTTGTCATTCATGTTGCACATACACTTTGTTTTTTTTATACATACATTTAAACTTGAATCAAAGCTCCTGAGGACATTTAATTGTTTTTCCTAAGAACAGTTTTATTGGCAGTAAAGTTAATGCAGATGACATATCAAGTCATTTGTAATGTACTGTATCACTCTCATTAACAATTAGATGAACATATTCAACACTTTTCATGCATCTGAAATGCTGACCTCATGTTCTTAACCTGCTTCTATAAAGAAAACACTGATATACATACCCATTTTGTTCAGAAAGTTTAAAAATCATTTGAACATCATTCAAAAAGCATTTATGTAAAGTCATTGAATGGTCATTGGAAAAATATTAATATGTTGAATGCTGTGGTAGTAAGCTATGAGAAAACAGATGGTGAGAACTGCCTCACACTGTTACCCACATGACTATTATAGGCGTTGTTAAAACCAGTAGTGAGACTGGAATTATATTGGATGAGCAAAGAGAAGCAAACTGAAGAACAAGTTGTTTAAAATAGAGAAGTTGTGTCCATGTCAGACACTTCTCACATATAAGGAGTTAAGCAGTAGATCTGTCTGTAGCAAAATATTGAACAATACCAAGAAAAGCATCAAATTATGGCTGTCGAATAAATAATGGACAAGCAAATATTTATTCATACAATTTTATTCATAAATAAATTCATTAAAATATCTTACCATAGTTTGTTTCTGCACGGAATGGCACCTGCGAGTGATATAAATATAGTAGAAAAAAAAAAAACAACAACTCAGATATCAAGACAGTATTTGCTAATATCTTCAAAGTCTTATTGAAATATAATTTGAGTAATTCATAACTATGATGCAAAGACAGACTTTTTGATTGAAAACAGTGTGAAGAAACGTGTTTTTTCATCATTAAAACAGTACTCTGTTCAGTTCTCCATTGTAATGCAAAAGATATTAGTGTCAAGTCTACTAATGCTTCCATTTAGGTTTTTAATGGGAAGAAAATACATCAAGGAAATTCTCAGATAATACTGAGTGGGAAGAACACTTTCATAGTATACATAGTACACTATGAAAAAGGCTAAAGTAAAGACTGGTGCAGTAAATGAGAAACAGTAAATGAGAAACTTGGAGAACTAACATAAGATGTAAACTTAAGGAGGAGGAAGAGCCTAGACAAGTTCCCTTTGAAAGACAGAAATTGCTCATTAGTTGGGAACTGGTAGTTCAAGATAAATATGAAGGATAGTGTGGCAGCAAGTCATATATATAACTTGAGATGTGGATCAAAGACTATAAAGAAATCAAGAGATAATTGTCCTTATCATGCAGCTGTGATGAGTCATGTCATTATGCAGGGCTTCGTATTGATGTCTGGAGACTTTCTTTGTGAGACAATTGCTAACAAAATTCCTGAAAGTGTGAGATTTCATTAAATGATCAGGAAGGCTGGCAGATTGATAAGCAAGAGAAACTACAGTAACTCTAAAAAATAACTCTGTGTGTACAGTCACACACACATAAAAACAAAGATATATCTGTACCTGAGAAGACAGACTCTTTACATTTTTCATAAGTATTTTAAATTGTTTTGTTTTGCTTTTTTTGTCTGGTCCTTCATCCTGTGCTTCACACATCAGTGTTTTAGGCATGAATTGAAGTAATACAAAACTCACATCAAATATAGCGTATTGTTGGAAAACATAGTCACTTGCTAAAGAGTATAAGCAGTTTACATTCAGGGCCTTGCAAGAGGGTTGTTGTCAAGTTAATGGCCTTATTTTCTTGAAAATATGCTAGAAGTGTCAGGACGTCTGTCTGTCTTTGACATCCATGACCCAGTCCACTCTGACAGCCAGACATTGTCTTTTGAGAGTTTCATGCTATTTGTTTCCAAGAGAAATTTAAATCACTGAGAATAACAGTTGACATCATTAATTAAAAAATAAAACACATCAAGTGCCACGATGATCCAGAACTTAAAAACTACACAGTGCCCATTTGCCCATTCTCCATAAAGAAACCAGGTATCTGCATTTAATTTCTGCTTGTATTCCAGAACTACCAATTGCAACTTGGTGTTTTGTTAGGTACAACTAAAAATCATCGTACTAATCTTGGAACATGTGGTATAATTTTAGCTCTACATCCTTCATTAGCATTGTGCCAATTTACTGTTTTCACTTACACCTTTATAATCTTCCAGATTCTTGTGCAAATACATTTGTTTTATGTGGTGGAGGATCCTAGGGGTGGGGGGGGGAGGAGGATAAGAGCAGTGTGTTGGAAGTGGAGCAGAGATACAGAACTGGTACATCTTGGAGGTTTTACAAGTGGAGTAAAATAATTTTTTTGTTGATGGTGATGGTGGGTTTTTTTTATTTTTTCTGAGATGCTGAATCCAATCAAAAGCAGCTAAATAGCCTTTTAGTGTCTCAGCTGGGGCTAATTTGTTTCTTAATGCCCATTTGTGTTCTAGAGTCCTCCATTTTTATAGATAAATGTATTAAAGACAAATGTTAACTCATTTGTATCAATTCCACAGATATGTTTTAAATGGAGAAACATCTATGTAAGCCACAGTGGGAAAATGATTTGGTTTGGTAATTAGCTGAGAATAGCAGGACTTATTTGGGAAACTTGCAGCATGATGAAGAAAAAAATTATGTAAAAGAGAAGTGCAGCGGTGCCTGAAAATAGTCAAGTTAAAAGTATAAAGCGATTACATTGAGATAACAGTCCAAGAAGCTGCAACGAAAGAGCAATTTTATTAATTTTAATATGATGCAGCAGGTTCTTTTCTTAGGTAAATGCAGTCATTCTTTCATATTTTTGCAGTAATTTACACGGAATAAATCCCCAGCCCCTGAGAGTCAAAGCTTTCCTAATTACATTCTGCAATACTCAGTGCATCAAGTTAACCCCAGTTCTTGATCTGAAACCTGTCAGGCAGACTTAAAAATTAATAATAGCTGCCTGTTTAGCCTCTGTGCAGTCCTTAAATAGATTTTGAGGCTGACATTTTGGCTGATGGACACTTTCTGAACAGTAATAATGCTTGAGGAAACATTTATTTCCAGCTATTGCTCACCTTACCTACATTTCAGACTGTGGTTAACTTTTACTTAGAAGGAAGATGATAGCAGGTCAAAAGGATTGAAAAAAAGACATGTAAAAGTCACACTGCTGTAGTGGAGTTAATACCTTCCATCATTCATCGTAATGAAAAAGTCTATTTATATCTCTTCCTTTCATTTTTTCATTTCTATCTTTGTAGGTCTATCAATCTATATAAGCCTCTTTGAAGGAACAGAATAAGTGAAATCCGTAATCATAAAAGCCTGTCACTATCCTGTTTGTGAATCATTTTCTACTAAAAATGAACTCAGAAGCTTGTTACTGTCCTGTCAGAGTTACAGAATGGGTTTAATAAAGTGAAGTTTGGAGACTCGGCAAAATACGTTGTTAAAAATTATTAAATTTGTAAATATTTTCTGGACTTCATTTGAGAAATAATAGCACTGTTTCATAAACATGCCATCACCACCTCTCTAAAGGAATGGTTCTATACTGTGTTACTTTGTGAAGTGGAAACTGAGTTGTACATAAAATGCGTAAGGAAAAAGATGTGAAAGCAGAGGGGAAGATTTATCAAAAACCTACAACTGTCATTTCAGCATTTATTACAAAATAAGACTGAAACATCAAAAGGTCAGTCCAAGGAAGCTCAATCTTCTGTTATAAGTGAGTGAAAATTTAAAAAAAAAAATGTGTGTGTGTGGGGGGCTTCCATTTATCATATTGGAAAGTAGTTTTATCCAACAAATGAAATCACAAGAACAAAATTAAATAAACAGTGTTTTGTCTCTCCCCTACACTGGCTGAATTCAGAGTTCAGCTGTATTTTCAGAACATGAAGATGAATCTGGTTTTAAAAAGGAATTTTATTCATACTGTGGTATCTGTAGGAACCTCCATATGGTGTCATTATATAAATATTAAGTAAACCAAAATATATTATTACCAACATTGAAAAACTACTATACTGCCTTATCTGACATATGGCATTGTATTTATACATACCATTGAACATCTGTTGTCAGTAATCTAATGAGAGAGAAAATTTTTTTCTTCACATTTAATTTTTGTAGCTACACAGTATGCCCAGCAGTGATGCCTTTCTTATAAATACATTATGTTTTGCAAAATGAATGAAGAATTGTCACGACTATTAGTAGCAACAGGCTCATACATGTCTATTTTATTGCCTTTATATATAAGTCCACAATTCACAACTAGCTAGTATTTGGGAACACATGACTAATATCTTTACATCAGTTGCAGTTTCCCACATACTTGGGTCTGTTTACCTCACAGAATAGATTATTTCTATAATAAAACATGTAATATGAAAGACAACCAGGATAGAGGATACTTCTCCAAACTGAAGGGCTTTATTAGAATCAAACACACCCAGATGACGACTGTCCTAAATTTTCTTACTGAAAACAAGGACTTATGAAACTTTCCAAACAGTAGCCAAAAGCAAAGATCATCACTGAGCTTTAGCACTAACTGTGCTCAGCTTTAGCTCATAGTGACTTCAGATATCAAAACAAAACTTACTGTTATCAGCCAGCAAATGAATATGCTTGATGTAGATTTTTTAAAATGATCATAAGTTTTACTGCCCAGCACTCAAAGAACAGTTTAGCTACTAGACCTGGCTTTGATATTTCTGCAAAATAATAGTGACCA